AGTTCTAAGTAATTTTATTTTATAAGTATTCAAAAACATATATTTAAAATTTTATTTAATTTTATTTATTATTTATAAAGTTATAACCAATTTTTATATTCCAGTTTTCAACTTTCCATACTATATATACATATGTATTTTAAATAAAGTCTCTTAAAAATTCTTTTTAAATTTTAAAAATAGAAATAAGATAAAAAATAACAATAATCTGATTAATAAATTTATTTTTACACTATCATTATTTTCAAATAAGAATCAATTATTTGACACTAGTATTAATAATCAATTTCAAGCTACTTCTTGATTCTATTAAATAGATCGCAATAAGTTATAATGACTTTTATGTTGAAAAGATTATTAATGTAATGGTTATAAACTTAACATTTAATAAAAGTTTCGCATTTAATACTCATTGCGATTAAAAAATTTTTTTATTAAATTATACCCTGTAAAATATATATAATAGTTTTTTATATAATTTATTTTAAAGAAATTTTTTAATAATAATAATTTTTGAAATATTGTTTAAAAATAAGAATTTTATTTTACAGTATAAAAATTTCTAACTTCTATATCATATATTCTGTTTATAAAAATATACAATATATCAGTTCTGTAATTTTCAAAACCATCGCTTTTGTTTATAAATATGATTTTAAAGCTAATTTAAGTAAAGGTATTATAATTTAATCAATTGCATGCAATGAATCTATAATGCAAGTTTATTTCGACTATCAACGCGTTCTACTTCATGATGTATGGTCGTTTCTTTTGTCTGAAATATTAGGCACTAATTAGAAATTTATTCTCCTTTAGCGTCATCTAATTCACTGTTTCTAAATAAATCCCTGACGGTCTCTCTACTGCGTTTTCTAACAATTAAAGGAAATTGATATTCCTCCTCGTCGTCATGATTCGAAATTCCCAATCCCAGATCTTCCATCTGTTCTGCCAAATCATCTAAACCGAAAGTGGTCCCCTTTATTCTGGGTGATCCATGTACCGATACTGGTCGTGGAATCTTTGTTTTATAATGCTCGAAATCATTATCTAGATCGTTAGCAAATGAATCTGGATATGTTCTATGTAATGCTAGCTTTCTTGCTCTTACATATTCCATTCCCATCATTTTCCAATCTAATAGATCTGACAATCTCTCGGTTCGATTTCGTTGATTAATTCGTTGACGTCGAGATTTCTGACAGAATTCCACCATGTAGTTTGTCAATTGCTGTAGTGATTCTTCAACGCTTTTCATTCGACGATCTACAATGTATATACCATAGTCGGTCGGATTTTCAATTGTCTCGTCCATGTAACATCCAAATCCTGAAAGATTGGTAGTAATTGATGGTACTCCCATTAATGTGCATTCAGCTGGAGTATATCCCCATGGTTCATAATAACTCGGAAATACACCAAGATGGCAGGCACGAACAAAGTCCTCATAATCCAAGCCAATTAGTGGATTATTTGAAGACAAGAATTCGGGATGGAAAATAACTTTCACTCGGTCTGAAGGATGGTTGAACAATTGTAACCGACGTAATTGCATCAAAATAGGATCTGTCGCATCGTCAACCATGTTATGGGTGACTATTGGTGGAAGCGTGCCTCGTTTAAGTGCAATCACACGACGTTTAAGTAGTACCATTTCTTCAGTAGTGAGCAATTCATCTGCGTCTACGACAGCTTCTTGAATGTTACCACTAATTGATATTATTGTAAGAAATAAATACATTAATCAAAGTTCATATGATATTAATAAAAGCAAAAAATATCATACCCAGCATATCTTGCAGCTTTCTCAAAGATACGTTGACCAATTCTATCCGTAATATCTCTAACCGTTTCTTCAAGTTGTTTTGTGACGGCCTGTCCTTTTAATGCCTCCACGGCAAACGATTGAGTAGCAGCAGGCATAATAATAAATGCAACGACAGTCATTGGTGAATTACTTTGTTTCAGACGGTTATTGAGACCTATTTATAATTAAATTATATATTACGAAGGATCAAAAAGAAAATAAATGCAGCCAAAAATATTACTTACGAGCCAAAGACTCTATGAACATATCCACACCCTTGTTCCTATACTCATAACGGCCAGCCGTGAAGAAATATAATGTATTATCTAGATCAAAATCATAATGACCGTAGAAATGACCTCTTACAAACTTATGAATCTTTTCTTTATTTCGGGCATGCAAATTTTGGAATTCGTGCATGGCAGAAAATTTGACCACGTTCAAACCGTTAGGAAGAACTCCATCTGAAAAGCAATAAATAAATAAATAAAAATTATTGTTTACCAATAACATAATGAGACAACAAAATAAATTACCTGGTTTCCTTCTTAACAAATGCTCAGCTTCATATGCAGTGATTTGACTCACAGTTGTAAAAACATCACAACAATGAGCTGCAGCGCGCTCTATGCAATAACGGTGATATATTCCACGTTTTCCTGCTTCTTCGTCAACAGGGAACTTGTTAATGTTGTTATAAAAATCCACAGAGCCAGCACATAGATAACGACCGAGCAAAGTAGCATGGGTGGTAAAAATTGTTGTCAGATCCGTGCGTCGTTTTCTCATAAGTGGAATCGCTATGCTGGATTGCCATTCATGAAAATGAGCAATAACGGCCTTATGTCTTTCTCTAACAACGAACTACATTTTATATGTGAATGGACCGATGTATAAGTGCAACGTCGCACAAACTTTATGATAAATTATTCAGAAGGCACTTACGTCGCCCAAAAACCAAGCAACAAGATAGCCAAAAAGAACAGCACTGTTGGTTTCAGAATCATTTGGCGGTGAAGGAATTCCCGCGAAATTCCATAAATCGGTTTTCCACGAATCTAATCTGTCACTTATAGAATTCGTATCGAGCAATAAAACATGAGGAGCTCCTTCAATTAGCCATCGGCCGTACATCCATTTGATTCCTTGAGATGCCATATCATCAAGAATTTCCTTCATGCACCAATTCTTCACTTCCTCTGATTCTACCTCTGCAGCTGCAGTCTTGTAATTTAATGGGCCTATGAGGCAATATCTGTCGCCAAATTCATGAACTGTTACAGGAGTTTTGGATCTTATGACAGTATAAATTCCTCCAACTAATTTTCAAAAGTATGTGGCGATTAAACGAAGAAAAGGAAAAAAAAAATCTTTGTTTTTTTTTTGACGACAATAATTATTACCTTTGTTAGCGACCTCCCATGAAATCTCGAAGAGATATGGATTTTTAACATTACGGTTGCTCATTTTTACTTAAAATTATGACGCTTGGCCGACTAATATTATTTTATTTATTTTTTTTTTTTTCCAACAGGCCAACACACCAAATTTTACTTTTAAGCAGTGAAAGAAGTAATATGAAAATTAAAGGCGTTGCTTTATATATAATATGCATGTATGGAAATATTTAAACTTTTTCGAGATTGTGACGATAATACGTATCGTATATACAATTTGGTTTGATAAATATTTCGTCACTGTGATTGTTTTTTCCCCGCTAGGTTTCGACGATCTCACGTCACTTCGATTGAACAACACGTGCAAGCATGCGTTGATATCTATCTGAAAAAGTCGGGTTAAACGGTATATTCGTTTATCTGTTAATCTTCTTTCACATGTTTGAGTTAAAGCAAAGAACCCGATTCAGTCATATTGTTGTCATACGATTAAAACTACGTGATTTTGTAAATGCGACAAAGTAAATTCAGTGGCTAAATCCAGAAGGGAATTTGGCGTAATTATATATACGCCTCTTATCCAAAATATTCGATAGTTTAATTACGTAATTTCATTAAAACCTTAAATTAAAATTTGTTAATCAATTAATCAGGTTATATTTGCAAGCCAAAACAAAAATTTTGATTTTTTATTTTTTTAATATCCATGGTTAGGCCAGTATAGTGTGTTTACTAATCTTTAAGAAAATTGATAGAGATATATGGTTAAACTAAATTCAATGTTAACTTACTCATTAATAACTTTCAATTTTTAAATAAATTTTAGTTTTTAAATATAATTTTGAAAACAATATTTTGTTTTGTAATAAGTTTGGAGTCTTAACTTATTAATAGATTGTCATTGTCTATTTTTCTTCAAAAAATTGATTTTGAAAAATTATAAAAGAAAAAGAAAAAAAAATTTTTTTTTAAAATATACAAATATATTATATAAAAGAAAAATAATAAAAGGTTTATGTTTTTTAAAAGATTTTTTCTAAAAATTTTCTCTTATTAAAAATTAATTCTTTTATAATATTCTTCTTTTTTTTAACTATCTGAAAAAATTTATCTATTTATAGTCTTAATTATTTTCTTATAACTATTTAAGATATTTATTATCTATTCAAATATAGTATTTTGTTTGATATTTTTTTTTTATCAATATTAATTTTTTATTATTATTATTATTTTTTTTTTACTTTCTATCAAATTAATTATATATGTTTTATTAAATATTAGTATACTATACATATAAAATATATCATTAAAGTTACTGTAAATCTCTAATTAGCTTATTTGTTTTGATTATTATCACTTTAAGTATAACTTCAGGAGTAATTTATTACTCTATTAGTAGCTTAGATAAAAACTCTTCTAGCTACTAATTTCATTATTTGTAAATCACTATTGTAGATTTTTTTTATAAATTTTGATAAAAGTTAAAAACTCTAATCATTTTATTTCATACTTTACTCCTTTTAATAAGATTTATTTCAAACCTTGTTTTTTAGTTTTTCTTCTTTCTATAAAGGCCTTTTCATAATTATAATTTTATTGTTCTGATTTAAAAGATCAGCTGATCTTCTTATTTTATCTTCTTTATAGATTCCTTGTGCTTGTTTCCACTTAATTATTCTTGAGCACCTTTTATTTCAAATATTCTTTCAAAATTGATTACAAACCTTCTTCTATATCTTCTTTATTCACTTTCAGATTTCTTTACTTATTCTTTTCTAATAATATTTTCAATTTAATATTTTTAATATCTAATTACTTTATATTAGTTCTATATAGAAGTTTAATATATTCTGATTTATTTCTATAGTCTCTTCTATAAACCTGACTATATATTTGTTCAATTCTTCTAATTTTACTTTGTCTTCAATCAGAAATCTTATTTCTTTTTCTTATATTTATTTTCTTCTATTATGTAAAAGTTTTTAAAAGTCTTTTAAAATATTTTCTGTTTCTTTGTTCCATATTTCCTACTATTGAACTTTATATACTAGATATTCTAAAAAGTGTTCTATTGTTCTGTTTACTATTTGCATACTATACACTCTACTTGTTTATATAGATCTGATTTTTTTATGATCAGTTTGAGAAGTATTGATAACTCTTCATTAATTAATTTGATAAAAAGGTTTTTTCTTAGAAATATTTAAAGATGTCTCAAGTATATCTATTCTTCATCCTTTTTCATACCAAATCTCATACATAGTTATATTGATCTAGAATCTGTTGATTTTATTTATTCAAAAACCTGTTTTATTTTATTTATTGATGAGTTATAACTTTGTTTTTTTTTTTAACCCACAATTGATTACAATGGATTGAATCAAATTGGATTTTAACTAGATTTGATCTGATTCAGTTTTTATAAATACAAATTAGATATGGATCTGATTTGTTTTAAACTGATCTGATCTGATTCGAAACTATAACAATTTGATCTGATCCAATTCAAATTTGAATTTAATTTGATTTGATCTAATTTGATCTGATTCGAATCCGAATTCAAATTTGAATTTGAATCTGAATCCAATTCAAATTCAATATAAAAATAATTTGAAATCAATTTGATATATTTTGAATCTGTTTTAAAGCATGTTCAACTATAACTACTTTAGTTTAATTAAATTAAATTAAATATATTTAAATTAACCTGGCTTTATTTTAATAAAAAAAATTTTAACTAGTATATTTTCTTTTAAAAATATTTTTTAACTTTAAATTTAAAATTTTTTCTTTTATTAAATTTAAATAAATTTATTTATACAACCCATGGTCA